CTTTTTCTAATTTACATTTAAACTACTATGTGAGAGAGGATAAGTTCAACTGGTGCAACTAGATGCTAGAAAACAGTATATAGGCAATTACAGTTACAATAACAAAAAAGATTATTTCCTGTTGCTTGATATGTAAGATTTTATATATCATCATTTTATATATATATATATATATATATATATATATATATATATATATATATATATATATATATATATATATACACATACACACACACACACACAGTAACATCCAGTTAATGAAATTTTGGTATATAATAGCAGAAAATAGACATACTTAAATGTTTTTTTAATTTTATTATTATTATTAGTTGTTGTTGTTGTTGTTGTTGTTGTGTCAGTTAATAGCGTCTGAAATTCTCTTATTCTCTTAAAACTGTCAATCAGATTTGTGGGTGGCTGCAGTCTGAACCTACAGATTGTAAAATATTCAAATAGAGTGTGTAAATAAATATGATTACGTCATTCCTAATTAATATATAGTATATTAAAATTTTTCTACCGAAAGAAGTAGAGACAAAAAGACATAATGCCTAAAGGCCTTTCGTAAGAGTCAACAATTTACATTTACAGTTGATGTTGCCGTTTGCGTCTCATTTCCTAAGTCGTTTCTCAAACTGCAAACACTTTGCTTTCAAATGATCCATTACTAATTCATATCCTTTAAGTGGCTAAATTTCTCTGTTGATAATGAATTAAATATGAAACTATATTACTTAAAGGGTGAATTAAAACAGCGAAATAATTATTACAAAACATTTTGTGAAAAAAGTGTACAAATTAAAAACAAATGGTTATTGAATATTTCTCTGAAAGATAACACTCTCTCTCTCTCTCTCTCTCTCTAGTGGCGGTCTTTCAGAATTACAGAAGGAGTGTGACATCTGGCTATATTTTATAGATTATATTATTTTTATATAATTGCATATATACTGAAAAGTTCAAAAACAGAATTTTTTTTTTCTCCTACCTGAATTCAGTGGTGAGTGAAACAAATGAACACATTCTTTCTTTCTTAATGTAACTATTGCTACAGGAGGGTGGAGGTAGGGGGTTGGGTGGGGCAATACTGTGTACATGCGTGTGTGTGTGTGTGTGTATGTGCAATTAGTTTTGCAGCTCTTGTCTATGTGGCTTGTAAGCAGCTAAAATGGGGACATACAAACACCATTATGTGAATATTTACTTACCTAGTTATGATAATTCATGCATGTTTCCAGCTACCCATCAGGAATGTGCTTCACATGTTATCCTGAGTGTCACGTATAGGCCAGGGGTGTCCAACTGTTTTTTCAAAGGGGGCCAGATCAGACCACATCAAAATACCAGAGGACCAGTCACCAAAATATTGTTTATGAATTATGCAAAAATACTAAATATTTACAACATAAAAGCAGACAGGCTTATACAGTCAGGTTCATAAACATGCCTGCCACAGTATGTTGGAGTTGTCAGAATTACAGCACTTTTGTTTATGTATATACCCTATTTAAGGGACCAAATGTAACTTGACAAGCTAACATAATCGTACGTTAAATTGCCGTGCATTGTTTAATTTTAATGCTTTGTTGCAAAATCGCTTTAGTTCATGAATTCACAAAAGGTTTTCCATGATTAGTTTGATAAAAAGCTTGGTAAAAAAAAAAAAAGTTGCTTTTACCAGGATATCTTCCAGCTGCTCCAGTTTCTTTGCTCTCTCCTCCTCTGAATAGTTTTATTTTTTTGGTTGTATTGATCATGATTTGTTTCATAATATCTAATGACATTAACATTCTTAATTGCTGCAACAGTCTTTAGACATCTGAGGCACATGAATTTGCTATGGCTCTTAATGAAAACGTATTCATGTTTCTGGCTGTTTTGAAACGGCCCTTTCTTACTGTTAACTTTTTGTCTGTAGCCATGACTAAGGGCCAGGGCCTAGGGCCAGACCTTGGACACCCCTGTTATAGGCTGTAGCAGCACTTCTCTCTACTGTCTACAGTCTCTACTGAACATCGGCGTGATATCGTAAGTTTAATACAGAACTTTCATACTGTAAAATATCAAAAGATCTGGCTAGTTAGTGTGCCCAGCGATGGGTTGGCACTCCGTCCAGGGTGTCCCCCACCTTGTACCCTGCGTCCAGTGGGAAAGGTTCCAGGCTCCCCGCGGCCTTGTGTAGGATAAGCGGTACAGAAAGTGGATGAATGGATGGATGGCTAGTGATATTGTCACCAGGTGTTGTTCAGACTGTGATTGGGTTGAAATGTAGGGCCTGATATGGGGACATTCTCTAACAGTTAAGATGATTTGAATAGCACACTGGTGATAAAAAAATAAACAGATTATTCAGGTTCAAATGGAACAAAAGCACACCCTGTTGGAAAAACAGGAAACATACTGTACACATATAAACTACTACTACTACTACTACTACTAATAATAATAATAAGTTTAATTTACATAACCAATTTATTAGACAAAAGGGTCATTTTCAGAAATATGTGAAATACCAAATGAAAGCATGCTGTGAAGAAAAGGCATTTTAAAGATAATTTTTTAGAAGTACCTAGTGTAGCATAAATGATTAAATTGTGTTCATAAATTTTAAAATTAAGATTAATTTAAACTAATTAGAATTCTATAGTGGTCCTCTAGGAAGAAAGAAGGAAGAAAGGTCTTTTGAACATTGAAAATCATACAGTTCATACAATTAAACAGAAAACCAAAAGCACACGACAAGAAAATAAAATAAGCATTTGAATAAATGTTTCTTGACCTAACCGCTGTCCCAGTCTCGCGTCATAAGAGCTAAATAACATTAACCACCTACATGACAGAGAACTGTTCCTTATCACTAAATGTTTAATTTTCCCAATGTTCAGTGTTTAAAATTAGCCTTAACTTTCATGTTATGTTATCATTACAAATGGAATATAGCTAAATTTTCAAAGGGAAATGAATAACTGGTTAAGTAGTAATACGTTTTATCCTCCATAGATAATTACACAAGCAATACATCCATTGTCCTTTATCGTCCTGTGCAAGTCCGTGAAACTGTTATCTAAAACGAAATACACTGCACATCTAGCATGAAATACAACAGGACACAACACTCCCTGAGGAGACTGAAGTCACGCACCATGAGCAGTAGTCTACTACCAGCCTGTTATTTCTAGTGCATTATTTTTTGCTATTGTGTGGTAGGGCAAGGACATGAAAAAAACTGTAAAGACGTGAACTGTAAACTGCAAAGGCTTTTTAATGCATTAATTAATTCAGCTGGATTCACTGGAGACTGTGACGGAACAAAAAAACACTTAAAAAACTATTAGATATGCTACAACAGTTTCTCTTCATGCCACTTTGGCTAAGCACAGAAACTATCTGATCGACCAAGTGACCCTGTGCTGCATTAAAGAACGCCCGTTCCTGTCGTTACTACCCACACTTTATAATGAATCGATTTACTAGTGGGGTAGCAGCAACCTCTTCCAGTCTGATTACTACTATTATCTGAATCTGGTGGTGCGATGATTAGCATTGACGCCTCACAGCTCCAGCGTCCTGGGTTCGACCCTGGATTCAAGGCTACTGTCTGTGCGGGTTTCCTCCAGGTGCTCTAACTTCTTACGACGTGCTCACTGCAAATGTGTGTGGGCAATGGTACATGGACTGGTCTCTCATCCAGTATGCATTCCCGGTGTTCCTGGGATAGGCTCTGGATTCTTTGCATCCCAATGCATCCCTTACCAGGATGAAGCAGTTACCGAAGACGGAGTGAAAGAATGAACAGAATAATTAGAACGCTAGACAAATGAAATACGTTCCATAATTTTTAGTTATTGGTGATGTTACAGTTAATGATTATCTGAATTCAGGTGCATAAATAAAAATCTGCCATAGCTAGGTTAATTGAACATTTTCCCCCATTTAGATAAACTGTAATTGTGCTTGTGTCCACCTGCATACATATTTTGTAACCGCTTAAAGGTTATTGTATATCCATATAAGCAAGGTTTCCTTTTTCTAAATGAAGCAGCAGCATTAGCCATGTAGCTATTGTGCTACACAGCCTGTAACAGCATCTCCGTCCTATAACACTGCTGATCTTCTGGAATTGTTATATTTGTCACATTTAATGGTTTCAGATCTTCAAACAAAATATAAGACAATGACAACTTGAGTAAACACAAAATTTTTATTGATCATTGACGGAAAAAAGTTGCCCATCACCAAGTGGCCCTTTGTGAAAAAGTACTTGCCCCCTCAGTTACTCAATCAACCAGTTAACCCAATTACCTGGTAGGTAACGTGTGATGATTCTCAATGGTGTATGATCACTGCAAGTCTACTTATGTGGGCTTCTTTGTGCTTTCTGTGACTCCCATAACCTGAGAGAGGGAGAGTGGCATAGCTGGTAGAGCTTGATAGACACACGCGCGCACACACACATACATTGGACTTGAATGATGACCCCTTTTCTGTTTGTGTCACCCTTTGTTTTTGAAAGTGCACTGAAGGTGCCTTGAAAATAAACGTGATCCCAGAGCTCTGTTGACACTCCGCCTGCCTCCCAAGTCTTCCTCCTCACCTATGCACACCGGTTTCTACAGTTATGTCTGGTGTAAAGCTAACACAGTATTTCACAATAAGAACATCATATCAAACATGGTGTTGGTGGTGGTGATAGTACTGTAGTGTGATGGTGTGAGGATGCTTTGCTGCTTCAGGCTCTGGGTGAACTTCTCTACCAGAAAATCTGTCTGGTCATCAGTCATTGTAATCTGAAGCTCAAAGGCAATTAGGTTATGAAGTTTAAGGTGTCAGTTATTGTTTAGCTTAAATGAAAAATGTTTTTGTGATTCCTCATGTTCTTCTTATATTATTTAATTTGGACATTTGAAACCATTTAGTGTGACAAATATGCAAAAATAGAGAAAATTATGAGAAGGCAAATAATTTTCTTGGCACTGTACAGTCCCTGTAGTTTGGGTCCCTAGAGGACTAGTGGTTAGGCCACAGCGCGCTCACCGCTGCAGCCCGGGTTCGATTCCCAGTCACCGGGGTCGCGTACAACAGTGCGCTCTCAGTGCTGGTCCCAAGCCCGGATAAAATTGGGGAGGGTTGCGTCAGGAAGGGCATCCGGCATAAAAACTGTGCCAAATCAAATATGCGGACCAATGATCCGATGTGGCGACCCCTAACGGGAGCAGCCGAAAGAGGAACAACAACAGTCTCTGTACTGTACATTGCAATCCCATGGAATGAACGTCATGACAACAGCTATTACATCATCAACCTTTTTTGAATATATACTGGTTTAACCTTCAGAAACTTTGTTTACTACACTGAAGTACACTGCATTTTATTTCCTGGATTCTTCTTCAGAACTATATATACAGTATACTCCCTACTCCAGTAAAAACATATCATGCTGTGATAGTTATCATGTATATTAAAGATTAACAACCTAATTAGGCACTTTGGCTCAATTGTCTAATAACATTGGAGAAAATCCAGCATTATGTGGACGTTGTTTGTAAAAAAGGTTAAGGGACTTCTTTTACCAAATGAAAAATCTATATTATGCTTATTTTTTTTCCTCCTCGGTCAGTTTTTCTTGTTTTCAGCCATCAACTGGCAATGATGCACAGAACATACATTTCACTATCATGCCACGTTAAACCAGTTTAATTGGTTCTTCCTGCTGCTGCAAGGTATCTTGTGCCAATGTTATGCCCTGAAAGAATGACTTGTCCTCTTTAAACATAAGTGAAATATGTAATGCATTTAGAGCTTTCTCACGCTTAGCATTTCTCAGTACACACAAAACTGTGGATGTATTCTTTTAATTCAAACTGAGCAACTAGACAATTTGAGCTGTTTAAACTTCAGGCTTCTTGCAGTAAAAATAGCCAGCGAGTTCATTTACAACGCTTTATTGCAGTGACATACATAGACTTTGACAAGATTCTAACGTGTTTCAAAAGGGCATTTTATGGGGGAAGTTGTGGAAGAGTTCAGCATATGAAAATACCATTATAGTCAAAGTTATTCTAATACTGTATACTATATTCGAGTGAACAGGATAAGACCCAATCCTAATAAATGCCCTATTAAATTACAATGGCATTGTATTCTTTATTCAACCCTCACTGTTTCACACTGTGTTGCCTTCTAGTCTTTGTTCAAGTTGCTTGAAAATGATTATTGATTTAATGTTAATGATTTCCTTATGATCATTTGGGATCTCCTTTTCAGTTGAGAGAAGTAGTAAGCTTACACCATACTGACATGAACAACTTGTTACTGTAGAAGTGTTATACTGTGCAATGCTGGATATCAGAATTAAGCTATGGGGGGAAAAAACACTGGCACAACCTGTACTAAAGGTTTCTATGTGTAAAAACCTCCAAAAACATTAAGGCTGATTTACTTACAGGCTCTATGTTTGCATCACATTTGCTTTAATGAATATGCAATTTGTGGTGTTTCTTCCCAAAAGACCAATACCCTTGACTATCCAAAAAAGAATTCATTTTGCACCTGCAGTGTGATTTACCGCAGCCGAAAATTTAGTTCTGTAATAGAAATTAATATTATATGTGAATTAAAATGACAAAAAAGACAGGTACTACATTTGTCTAAGCTTAATTCTGGCATTTGAAGGCAAACTAAAATCATTATTTTAGCTAGGTTTCTCAAAATGACTCATTAACTCAAAATAATTGAGTTTTTGAGGTAATATTTCCATTATAAACACAGGTTTTCAAAAACCTCAATGCCTTGAGTCAGAGATATACCATAATTAATATATTAATTATGCATCAATTTCAGTTTACCCTTCCAGAACTATTGTCACCAGGACAATTAAACCCAATTAGCACCTATGAGAAAACTCATTTAAATATTGTTTCCCCTCATATAAACGAGTATGGATGTACAACTGTACAGACTTCAAGGTGACTGTGCAAGGTCGCATCTCTACAGTAGTCTTCAACCGGGGGCAGTCGTGGCCTAATGGTTTCGAGAGGCGGACTTGTAAACCCGAAGGTGAACCCGAAGGTTGTGGGTTCGAATCTCAGGTCCGGCAGGGATTGTAGGTGGGGGAGTGAATGACCAGCGCTCTCGTCCACCCTCAATACCATGACTGAGGTGAGACCCTTGAGCAAGGCACCGAACCCCCAAATGCTCCCCGGGCGCTGCAGCTAAAAAGGCTGCCCACTGCTCCGGGTGTGTTTACTACCGTGTGTGTGCACTTGGATGGGTTAAATGCAGAGCACAAATTCTGAGTATGGGTCACCGTACTTGGCCACAAGTCACTTCACTTCACAACTTCATTTCAGAGTAAATGCAAGATACAGAAACAATGGGCATTGTCTCTATTAGTCTTTACTTTCATTTCAGAGTAAATGCAAGATACAGAAACAATGAGTATTGTCTCTATTAGTCTTTACTTTCATTTCAGAGTAAATGCAAGATACAGAAACAATGGGCATTGTCTCTATTAGTCTTTACTTTCATTTCAGAGTAAATGCAAGATACAGAAACAATGAGTATTGTCTCTATTAGTCTTTACTTTCATTTCAGAGTAAATGCAAGATACAGAAACAATGGGCATTGTCTCTATTAGTCTTCACTTTCATTTCAGTGTAAATGGCAGTTACAATGGGTGGAGCTAAACAAACCTCATGCAAATCATTGGATGAAAAAGTGGGGCTGTATTCTGCTATCATTTAAATGACACCTGAGCACATTCAAACCACATTCAGAGGGCACACTTTACCTCCTAGCACACAGGTAAGAAATCTGCACAGATCATTTTTCTATGAATAAAATACGTGAGGGATAATCCACGGCTAGGTGTGCATTACACGATTTTAATGCACGATGTGGAGGCAAACAACCACCCGACGTGAAGCGGAGCTGCCTCCGCGGAGTGCATTAGAGTGGTGTAATACACTTAGCCGTGGATTATCCTGCTTATACCGTGGCCGCTTGCCAGCATTGACAAGTTAGAGCTGTGATTGATTTTTGCAGTGCAAAATCTGAATGAAAGAATAAAATAAATTTTTGTTATTTATTTTATATACGGGTCATTAGAGCTAGAATTCTGTCAGCTACAAATCATACACAGAGATAAAGTAGTGCGTTAAGATTACATTTATTTGAATGGATTATAATAAATAGTTCTTAGAAAGAGAGAGAGAGAGAGAGAGAGAGAGAGGGAGGTGTGTCTGTGCTGCTTCTCTGCTAATAACGAAGCTGTGAGTTTAACTACTGGACGCAACTGTATCTGTATGTTACTATGGTTACAACTGTTTATAGGCAGCGCATTAATTTAGAACGGTGATTAAACTGACTGGAACTACTTGTGCACCCAATGGTTTGAACGCACACCTTCCAGCCATTCACAATCGAGTATTCAGGCAGACCATGGTATAATAGTAAGCAGCACAAAATTCTTATAAAGGTACATTGTATATTTAAGAGTTTTGGAGATTCGCTTTCAGGGAACAACTAGACGGATGAGAAAAAAAGAACTATTAAACCTTTTTTGTAAAATGTCAAACTGATTTTAAGATTGATAAAAATGATTTTTAAAGTTCACAGAATTTCCAGGCTTTAAACCAGACCTGTCATTTTGGCAAACCACAAGACAGTATAACTTAATTCTCAACCTTTTCAACCCTTTGTGGCTTCTCAGTTCTATGAGTGAAAGAAAGGTTGTCAGTAGTCGCTTTTCAGCCATAACTAGGGATTTAAGTGCTATTCAGAAATTATGTGATAGTGAGTGTTAGTGATTGGTGTGATAATTACAGTAGGACTATTCATGCAGTAGTATATTGGTAATATTCTAGACTCCTATTAGATGTTTATTTCAGTGTTTGCCATGTTCTCATGTCTTCATATGTCTCTTGTTACATTACTGTAATGGGTGGTAAGAGGCAAGATGCAAGAGCATGAAATCGGCATGCTGTTTATTACGAGCAATCCGTAACTCATCATCAGAGTCTGTAGCAGAGGCAGAGAGGAGCAAACAGGCACAATCCCTCATACACAAGAACAAAAGCACAGGTCAAAACCATGAAGTCAAACAAGAAACACTTATAAAGGGAAACAGTGAAACAAGAAATGCATGACTGATGAGACAAAAAATACAATAAACAAAGAAACAAAGAAACGCAAACATTGATGAGACAAAAAAAATACAACAGGGCTTAAATAGACAAAATAACTGACAGAATGGGGTCAACACCAAACATAAGACATGGGCAGAGACAAGACACAAAGAAACACATGGGGGGAAAAAAAAATCATGAACAGTGTATGCCATGCTGGGGAGCACACTACACACAGAGAAAAAGAATTTGTGACAATTGCACTTGACAGCAAAGGAAAAAAAAAAAAAAAAAGCTATTTCATTCTTCAGTCTGCATTTTCTATCCCTGTTTTTTTCTGGTTTATAGGCAAGTGCTTGTGTTTAAAGGCAGTGGTCTAAAGCCTACAGACTCTTCTACTGAAGAAAAATCCAACAACCTCGGAGACGTGTACTACGTGAAGGTAATTTGCATAATCTGACAAAGTCTAAATAAACAGAGATTCGCCTGTGTAAACACTGACATAACTTTTGGTCTTAAGTCAGCAACTCTGAATACATTCCACTGAGTTTCATTAGCTGAGGTTGTGTTCAATCACTTGTCCTTACTGTCACAAATGTAAAACACAGGTATGCAGAAGCAAATGGGGTGTTAGTTCTGAAATATATAAATGGGTATGATTTGGTATATAAAGTGTTGGTAATTTATTTATGGAAAAAAAAAAAATTGGTAAGTACCATGTCTGCCTGAACAAACTGACTGAAATTATTGACAGATTTTACTAATATACTGTGGTCCCTTACTGATGTTTCTCGGCTTTTTTCCCCTTGATTTTATTCATAATTATCTTTACCCCGTCTGCTAGTGGTCTTTCTGGGGCTGCCTGTACATCGTCTGTTTTTAGTCACAAGTCCTCCATCTTTGAACCTTTTTACAAGTTGTATAGATCTGGTGAATAGAGTGGCC